ACCTAGTGTTTCTGTGATTCTGTGATTACTTCCAAGATGACTGCTCTCAGTGCCGTGTGAAGTAGGATATTTCATTTGCTTTGCAGCAACATTGAGCAAGACTGGTGGTAGTTGTGTTTCAGTCATTTTAAGGCTGTCAAGAGGGCAATACATGAAGTGAGGTCTCCTGGTGTGGCATGGAGGCTGCCTAAACATGATAAAATGGAGCAGAGGGAAGAACCGTATTCAGCTCCATGTGGAGTTAGTTTGGCAATGACTAGCAACAGGACTAGCAGTGATTGCTGATATCAGTAGTAACTACTTCAATAATATGTATGTCTCTCTTAATTGAACTGTGAGGTATTTAATGTATAATTGCTGTATATAGCAATGACTCTAAAAGGCAGAGAAAAAATTTCCTTTTGTACATGAAAAAGAAAGAAAAGATGCATCCACACTTCTGTACCAGTAACTCCAGCAAAACTTTGCGATTTCTGTATGTGCCGAAAGCCATGTACATGCTCTGTAAGCTATAAAAACTTGCAGCTGCTGCTTCCAGACGTATGTGCTGCAATTCTGGCTGATTGTGGGCAAGTCATTTAACAGTTTTGTACCCCTGTTAATTTTAATCTGCCTTGCTTAGTGATCCTTGGGATAGTGATTATCTTTTAAGTACATGTACTTTTCCTTGTAGAAAGTGTTGAGTCTGACAGATTGCTGTTGCCATGTTGCCAAAAAAATCTTATCTGTTCTGGGGAAACGTCTGCTTGGAGAATAACCTAGCTTTGTAGTCTGTTCTGGTCAAACTTATGGAGTGTGTTGAATGCAGTGAAAACACTTTTCCTCATCCTCAGTGCCTAATTTTTGTCTTTAAATGTAGCCCATTTTGATTGGTGCATCGGACCATGCCAAGTGTTGCCTTTGCTGTCTTGGACTTTGTTACATTAAGATGTCAAAGAGAGTCTCGACTTTTCCGGAAACTCTGTCCTCTGAGAGACATGTGGTGATTCTGTGGTCTTTTGAATTGTAATGTTAGGTTTGGGAGGAAAGAAAATGTGTTTGTGTTTCAATGGGTTTATTCTATATGTTTATTATTACAGCCTTTTGGGAAGTTTTTGTGCTCAACTGACAATGTAACTTATCAATTATTGTTATGGAAGAGTCACAAGAGCTGTATTCATTCACATTTGGCTTAGGTACATGTTAGCTTTGCCCAGACCTCCAAACCTGCCAAAGCCCAAATGTGGAATGTGATGAGTATGGTAAAGAGTGGACTGGTGAGGAGAAAAAAAGCTGTTCATGCAGAAAACCTAAAATTTTGCCTGTAGTTTGTATAATAGAATATTGTAATGTGTTTTATTATGCTTTATTTCTGATGTGTTGGCAGTTTTCAGTTTCTCTTGTTTTTTCTGCAGTAAAATCAATTTAGTTGGTTATTCTGCCTGCCCCTAAAAGGCATATGGTGAAGTCATGCTACCTTTTTTTAGTGAGTGGCATGATGGTGGCATGGCTGACATTTGTATTCTGCTGCATGTGTGTTTCCAGCCCAAATGACTAGGGACCACTTTGGGTGGTCACTGCTGGGAATGGTCTTCAGAAAGGGGTTCCCAGGACTGGGTTTACACTAAATAAACAGAGGCCATGAAGGGAAAACTGTAATTCATTAGGAACACTGGTTTAGGTTAAAGTGATAAAAATAGCTGCAGGACATCTTAAATTAATTTCAAAACTAGAAAAGTGAAGGAATCCAACCTAGAGTATTTTGTAAGTTGTCCACTTTTCTTTGTAGAGTTCTTTATGCTTTACTCTCCTCTGTTCAGCATAACTAGGTATATAATGCAGAGATAGCTGAAAAGATTCATCTGTCAAAGATTCAGATTCTGTAAACACAGGCTTTTTTAGGCAGTACTGTCACTACTACTATGTCTTCTGTGTTCTGCCAAAACATGTTCCTGGAAGTTTTCATTTTCTATTCTGGTTTTAGGCAAGATGCAAGAAATGGAAATAAAATACCAGAAAGCCCTTCTGTATATTGCAGATAAACTTACTACATCGTTCATTACAATTGCTTTAGTTATTCATGGAAATGTTCCATAATAGACCAGTGAGCATGTGTGTTGCATGTTTTATGTAAAGAAGACATAATTATTTGACTCCTACCCATATGCTCTTACCAGAATGTTATGGTCATGAATTTTTCAGTCTTGCGCATTGTCAGAATTACAGTGACTTCACTTTCTGCAAATATTCTGTATTTAAAAGATACGGTTTATGTTTAACTTTGCAGATCCAGAATGCTAATGATGTGCTAATAGCACCGCTGGAGAAGTTCCGTAAAGAGCAAATAGGAGCAGCAAAAGTAAGTGGCTGTGGAAACATTTTTTTTTCATTTCATGTTTATTTGAGTTTATCAGTGTGTTTTGAAGGCTGGACTGAAAGCAAGCATTTATATTCGAACATACTTGATGCCATACTCATTCATGTATTAGTAAATTATACTGAATTCTTTCCTTCAGAGAAGGAGGTTATTTAGAAATGGAGTTTAAAGACTAATTATATGCATAGGGTGCAACTCTTGCTATTATTGCACATTCTTACCATCTGGAGTTCTGTTCATCTTTGGACATCTGCATTTACGTTACATTGCATCATGGGTTAACCCAGAACTGCACAGAGCGTTCAAACAGCTGCTATGGGTACAGTGGCCCTGAAGTGGCTGTTGTATGAAGACCAAAAGAAGTCAGCATGCTTGAGGCATACTCTCTTTCTGTCTCTGCTTCCCACTTTACACAGCTGATGCGGTGCAGTGATTCATATTCATATTGCCAGAGTATTCATCTTCATATTGCCCAGAGATTTTCTTATTGCCCATGGTGGAAAGTACTCCAGTTGGTGCTTTAAGCCAGTTCTCTGGTGTTAAGTGTTACATCTGTGTTAGAGAAACAGTGCAGGTTGTCGATACCAGGTTTCACTTCTCAGCCCAGGAAATCAGATATCGAGGAAGAAGATGTTGGAATAAACTGTTAGTCTGGAATAGCTATTTTCAGTCTCATCCTGGAGTCTTAAGTGATTATCAGTGACTGGTTTGATCACAGTCTCAGAGATGCATAAAGGCTGCAGTAGTCAGTTAGAGGTATGATTAATAACAGTTCTGTTTGTCTACATAAATATGCTAGTTCTGAAGCATTTTGCATCTTGTATTGGCACTCATAAAATTTTCTGGGAACTTTTCCATTTGTAAGGTTAAATGGGTATGAAAAAAATCTCGCTGAGGTTGTGCTTCTGCTGTACTCAACCAACCTCAGAAGAAGAACAAGAGCTACTGGAAAGAGAGACTGAAAGCTTATACTTTTTATACTGCTATTGTGAATGTGTAGCAAACAGATGGGACTGTTTCTGCACAGGAACTAAGTAAAAGTTTGAGAAGAATTTTTACTGTGAACTTGAGGTCAGATTTTTCTGAAATGGTTGTTCTTCACTCTCCTACTTGATGTGTTTTTGTGTACAACTGCATTCTTCTCTTGTCCCACCCCTATGCTGCTGTGAGATGCAGGGCTGGGAGTTTGTTTACAAATTGGAATTTAATCCCAGCACAAAATTAGTTCTAGTTTTCAGTAGCTTTTAGTTGCGTTCTTCAGTTTTTTGTGTTACCATTTCATTTCATAGTCACAGAATTACAGAATGCAGAGATAGCTGAAAAGGAGTTGGAAGGGACCTCTCAAGATCATGGGGTCCAACCCCCCTGCCAAGGTAGGATCACCTAGGGCAGGTTGCACAGGAACACGTCCAGTCGGGTTTTGAAGGTCTCCAGAGAAGGAGACTCCACAGCCTCCCTGGGCAGCCTGTTCCAGTGCTCCGTCACTCTCACAGTAAAGAAGTTTTTCCTGATATTGAGGTGGAACCTCCTGTGCCGCAGTTTACGCCCATTGCCTCTCATCCTATCACTGGGCACTGCTGAAAAGAGACTGGCTCCATCCTCCTGACAGCCATCCTTCAGATATTTGTAGACATTGATAAGGTCCCCTCTCAGCCTTCTCTTCTCCAGACTAAACAGCCCCAGGTCTCTCAGCCTTTCCTCGTACGAGAGATGTTCCAGTCCTTTAATCATCCTCACAGCCCTCCACTGGACTCTCTCCAAAAGTTCTTTGTCTCTCTTGAACTGAAGAGCCCAGAACTGGACACAATACTCCAAATGAGGCCTCACCAGTGCAGAGTAGAGGGGGAGGAGAACCTCTCTCGACCTGCTGGTCACACTCTTTTTAATGCACCCCAGGATACCATTGGCCCTCTTGGCCACCAGGGCACATTGCTGTCCCATGGATACTTTATTGTCTACCAGGACTCCAAGGTCCTTCTCCATGGAGCTGCTTTCCAGCAGGTCAACCCCTAACTTGTACTGGTGCATGGGGTTATTCCTCCCCTGGTGCAGAACTCTACACTTGTCCGTGTTAAATTTCATGAGGTTCCCCTCCGCCCAACTCTCCAGTCTGTCCAGATCCCGTTGAATGGCAGCACAGCCTCCTGGTGTATCAGCCACTCCTCCCAGATTTGTATCATCAGCAATCTTGATGAGGGCACATTCCATCTAGGTCATTGATGAAGATGTTCCTATAGTGTAAGGGATATCATTCTTCTCTGCAGGGAACCCTGTTTGAAAGCCTAACCTGCCCTACTGTTGACTGTCCTGGTACATCAGAGAGATGATCCACAGGAGGTTCACAGGGCTCTCTGCAGAACTGTATAAGACACTCATGTCTCCTTTGAATATATCACTCAGTAGTATCAACACGTATTTAATGATCTAATTGAAGATGGCTCCTTTGTTTTTTTAGTCAGTAAGTATTTAACATTAAAGGCAGGGCACTACAGGACAGGTTGAGTCCCCTCTGTTCGATATGTTGCAGTGGCTGGTTTCCTTTCCCTATCCCTTCCAGATAAAGTATGGGCATTTGCCCATCTTATATAATTTGTCCAAACAGTGATGACTTGCCTGTGGTCACACAACAGTCTACTGAATGAGTTCAGGAGAGAGCCTGACTCAGCTAACTCTTACTTCAGTGTCTGATGCACTTTATTATGCACTGCTATGTGTGTTTGGGGAAGTCCAGGATACTGGCTTGACACACTAATACCATGTAGAGAGCTCTCTGAGCTCATTGTGTTACAAAATGTCAAATAAACTTGTCTTTTCTTGCACTGCCCATGAAGTTCAAGCTCAAAAATGAGAGGTACAGACCCCTGTATAACCCAGATTGTCTTTTCTTGCACTGCCCATGAAGTTCAACTGTCAAGCTCAAAAATGAGAGGTACAGACCCCTGTATAACCCAGACTCTGATACAAACATTCAATTCTGAGTTGATTTTTATCACCAGAAGCAATTAGAGTTGGCCTTTAACTAAATGGAATCAACACAAAGAAATGAGAGATTAATTACATTTAATACTGTTTTTCTAGTAATTACAAAATGGCAACATGGAATCTAGGAATAATGAGACCAATATGAAATAGAGTCAAAATCTGGGCTTTCCGAAACTCGTTGTTGGTAGAGAACATGATCAGATCACTTGCCTTCACTTCTGTTCACTGGGCTCAACCCTTGAACATTTATGAACTCTTATGTGACAAGTTGAGCTTGCTAGTTATTTATCTGCAGTTAATGAAGGTTTGCACAGAGATTTGGCTCTGAACTCCACTCAGGTGATCTGAACTGATAGCCAAATAAAAAACGTTAGACTCTTTCTTCTTGCTTGGATTTCAACAGCAAGTTCCACAGAATGTCACTTTTTATTTGAGGTCTTCTCTAAACATGCCAGGCATATGGACCACGTATCAGCTGTTACTTTTGCTCTGAAGTTACCAGGTTTGAGCTGTTTTTTCCCCTATTAACTTACAACAGTGTGTAGAATTGTATTAATATCAAAACCAAACTCGTTCCCTTTCTCTGTCATCCCTCTCCCCCCAAAAAACCCCAAAACATTTCTGTGTATGTCTTCTGAAGAAAGGCTGAGATGGTGCAGACTCCACAGGACAGCTGATAGTTATGTCATATTTATATTTCTAGAATTTACAATTAATTTGCATCATAACATCTCATGGACCAACATTTTAAGAGACTAGGTATAGAAGCACGAGGTTATTTATGTATGCCTTTTGCATTGGCAATTTCAGCAGCAGGTAGCGATGCAAACATCTCGTCTTTGTGATCAGCCTTTTGCTGTGAGAGTGTATTTTATAAGCAGTGGTGAGTGTTGGATTCTCTCTGTTCTAACTGGACTTTGAAATTATTAATTTTAGTACTATGTTAAACTGTGTTACCAAATTTTTGGAGGAAACGAATTTATTACATAGTTGTGTTACCAATATACATAGTAGAATATTATATTAGATACTACTGCCAGATTTTGGTAAGGGGAAGATTATGAGAGCGAGCACTTGGAAGTGCTTACTGGGCTTTTTTCTTTCTTTTCTAAAACACTAGATAAAATTCAGCTGGAGATAAAAACAAGCAATCCGCCCCACTGCCCTGCCACACACATGCAGAAAAAAAAAGGAAAAAATGTTATAAATTAATGACAGTTTTCACTGTGACAATCACCATTTTTTTTAATAATAAGCAACTTCAAGGTTTTTACTACCATGATGAACTATGTAGAACTGCCCTATTGTTCTGTTTAATATAGAATGAGAATGTTTTATTCTTTCTTCAAAACTATGTTGTGTTTAGGCAAAAAATATCATCACAGAAATCAAAGAGAATATGGAGTATAAAAATATATCCTGTTGACGTTACAAAGCTATATTTCAAATACAAGGACGGCATAAACCCAGAGTGCAAAGTTCAAGTGTTTTTGGAGCGTCACAAGAATAACATTAAAGACCAATTCTTCACATGCACTTCAAAAACCTGAAGGTACCCAACAAGTCTGAGAAACATTCCCCATAAAACATTAGTGTTTGTAATCAAACCAGCAATACACAATTCTACATCACTTGCTTGTCTCGATTTATAGTACTCGCTCTTCTGTTTTTATTGCACATATTTCAGCTCTTCCTTTTCTGTACACACTCAGTTTAAATAAAGCTGAGTTCTCTCCAGAGACTACACAAACCCAGCTTTGCATTGGATAGCCTGTTGATTTACTCCATCTGAGTTTTAAAAAATGACCTCTGCAATTATTGTAGAAACGCGAGCAAAAGCTGGGTGAGGTAACTGGGAAAGGATTTCAGGCATGAAGCATTTTGCCTTATTTGGTAAATGTGGTTTGCAAGTCCCCAGCTGGTAACTTTGGTGAGATCATTGTGTGATGTGTTATGTACAATAAGGCCAAACTTTCATGTTTCTTCTTATCCATTGAGTA